TCTTTCTTTCTTTCTTTCTTTCTTTCTTTCTTTCTTTCTTTCTTTCTCTTTCCTTCCTTCCTTCCTTCCTTCCTTCCTTCCTTCCTTCCTTCCTTCCTTCTCTCTCTCCCTCCCTCCCCACTCCCTCCTCTCTCTTTCTGTTAAGGTAAGCATGACAAGGAACCCCACTGAGCACCTTTGCTCTACTTTCCACTTTACTCACTAAGCCTAGCAGTTTGGAGGTCACACTTTTTTCATCTGACTTGTCCAGCTGCTCTGATGTGGCCTTGAAGCTGCTACTCCACTGGTTCAACTAAAGCAGCTTTGCTTCTTCAGATTTTGAGTCCTGGGACATGGAACTAATTCAGAATATGCAACTGGGCCAAAATGCAATATCCTGACTAGCCAAAAGTTTAGCAGTATAGCAAAAGGGTTTCAGTCACTGGATAGTTACCTGTTTGGTTTTGGATTGAATTTTAAATGCTGGTTTAACCTATGAAGCCCTAGTGGTTCACCCTCTGTATACCTTCAAGACCATCTTAGCCTGTACTTTTATCTATTCCAGACACTGTCCTGAGGTTTACAACCTGTATTAAGGGAAAGAATAAAGGACCCATAGGTGCTCTCTTTTCAATGGCAGTCTCCCAATATGAAATATGCTCTATGAATTTTATGAGCCCTCCCTCCCCGCTCCACACATTTTGTAAGGTGGTAAAATCTGTCAATGTGGATGTTAAAGAGACTAGACTTGACTATATGTTAAAGAATTTGAATTCTACTTTGTGTAGTAATTTTTATTTTATGGTAAACTGCCCAGACTTACAGAATATAACTGGGTGGTATACAAATGGGATAAAAATATACAATAAAAATAAAGCTATTTGTATTTTTATCTTGTAGGGGTGTTTGTAATACAGACCATAATGAAAATGTAAGAAGTTGACTTATTGAGCTTTTGAATTTATCAGATGTGGGTGTGGGGTGGCTATTTTGCTGTGAGTATTGTGGATAAAGCAGAATAATACATTGAGCTTAGCTATTTTATAATGTGGCAATGATCTCCCTCACTCTGGAAAGATGGACTGAAAGAGATTTTAAAGGTAAGAAAAGTAAGAGCAAGGCTAAGAAGTCTGAAGGATATTCTATGTTCCTCGTTTTGCTGCAAGCATTTTTCTGGTAAGGAATGTTTAAAACTAGTATTTGCATAAAGAATAAATGTGTGAGTGAATGTGAATGGATTTATAATTTATTGTGGTTCATTTGTTTCTCTGTATTACAATGCTCCTCAAGGAAGTAGGTTATTTTTGAACCCTTTATATTTAATGATAATGGTTATTTAACCAATATATCTTTACGTACGATAAATAGTAAACCAGTTATCTTCAATTTTGTATACACCTATGCCATTGACAACACATAATAAAAAACATTAGAATGGTTGCTTTGTATATAAACATTGCACCCATCACTTTTGGCTTAATGTTTGTGGTTGATATCATTCATACATTTTTATGTTTCCCCAAATGTGCATCAAAATGCTGTGGTAGGGATATTCTATCTAGAAAACAAAAATTTTAATTATTTTATTTTCCTTCCTTCCTTCCTTCCTTCCTTCCTTCCTTCCTTCCTTCCTTCCTCTCACACATCCATCCAATTTTCTTCTTTCTTCTTCTTCTTGGAATAAGACTGATACTTTACATTGGGACATTCAAAACTACTTTCACTGAGGACAGCTTAATATCTTTTAATTATTAATTTTAAAGATAATTTATCCTCAAAGTGAGGATCTGCACGTCTCCAAAACAAGAGAACGTATTGCTACTCTTGCTATCCTTACTGAACAGGATAGTATTATAATAATAACGGTATAACAAACTTGGAAGGAACCCTGGAGGTTCTCTTGTCCAATCCCCTGCTCTAAATTATGGAAACCTACTAATTAATTTTTAGCTCAGGCATAACTGTCTTTGCCTGTATTTGTTACAGTATATGCTAATCTTGGTTCTTATTTGAACTTATAAGTTAGGTAACAAACAATAACAACAACAAATACTTAGTAACCTGTTGCCATCTCATAAAAGCAATCAGAAAATAGAAACAGTCTGCTGTTCTTTCCCTGTCTCTCCCTCCCTTCCTCTCCCACTCCCCTTTCTGGTCATTTACTCCCAATTTCCTATCTATAAATAGAATAAGGAAACAAATAATATTTTTAGAAATTATTTTTGGATGGACCACCTGCACTGCTGCCTATATTATTAAATTTTGTTGCTGTGGCAACTTTGATGATAGAACTGTGATAAAGGTGATGTTGAGCAGAAATTTGCAGGAGGTAATCGTGGCTGACAAACAGTTCTTTTCTCACTGCAGATGTCTCCCAAATAACAAAAACAAAAAGCATTCAAAGAAAACAACAAAGCTAGATAACAAAGAAGGAAGAGGTGATAAGTAATTTAAAATGATTTTCAATAGTTGCATTGCAAGTTTAATTCCAAGAATAGCTAAAAAGGCTTAGAAGACAGGATAATCCCTTCTCTTGCAAACTCCTCTGAGCTACTCAGAGTTTTGATCTCTGAATGTCACTTGTTTTACATACAGCTATACTCTAGAAAGTGAAGTAGTACCAATGCAGTATTTACTCCGCCCAATATTGTCATTTAGAGGAAACCTTAATCCTTTAATCTAACAGAACCAGCTAAAAGTTTCCCATCCTAAAAAACAGTTGTATGAATACTGTTGGTGTCATGAAGCAGACAGAAATGGAATTATTTGGATACATTTAAAAAGTGCTATTGGCTATCATTTCTTTGGCTTGCCTATTATCATTATGGGATCACATTAATCACTCCTACCATTGGGTTCCGTGACTGATCTAAAAAGCAAAATGGTTGTACACAGCAGAAAGATTAAAATTTTGTCATTAGTCACATTTAATTAGTTGTTAAATGTTTTCATAGAATGTACCCATGAAATACTTGCATTACTACAATATTTTTTTTATAAAACATTCAGCAAGGAAAAACCTGCTAGTCATATTTATTACATTTATGCTATATGATTCTTCATAATAAAAGCAACCAACTCAGTCTGATAATGTTTAGACTGAGTGGATCCCAACTGACTCTATTAAATTTCTAATAGTTTGTATTTTGAAACTCTAGAAATATTTGAATAATTTGAAAGTCCATACAATTATGGGAAGAAATAATAATAGAATAATACAATCCAGATCTACATTTGGATTTTCAGTCTGCATTCATTTCAAAAGCTGTAGTTTCCCTGCTTAGACATGGATTGCTGCAGTTGAAATGGCTAGTTATATAGAAGACAGTTATATAGAGGAAATTGAGAAATTGAGTCACAATTTTTGAAACAAATTAATCAGATCAACCAACTCTGATGAACTAGAATGAGTAGATGTTTTATCACAGACTACATTATCCTTTATTATTATCCTAATATCATAATTAATACACATTAAAGGCCAGGACATTTACTCCATGAACAACATAGATTAGATTGTTTTGAAATTTTTGCAAGGAGATATTAGAATGTCTAATTATAATATTAGAATATATGTTAGCTGAATACAGACTTATAGCAGGTAACCATCCGTCTTGGAATTTAATTGGCAATAATGCTACTCTTATCCTCTCAATCCAAATCATTTATTGAATGAGAATGTTGCCTTGCATAAAACCACCACTGAAGTTCAATTTAGCACTAAGTCCAAATGTATAATTACACTAGAATCTGCATGCTGTAGTATAAGCCTTTAAACTTCAATTAATGTTATTTGCATATTCCTGCACCATAAAAGCTTCAGTTTTATTTTTGTAGTTGAAACTCATTTATGCACATCACAATATACATAGTTTTGCTTTTACCATAAATGTTATTCTTTTTTTTTCTCTAATGGTGCTGAATTTATAAATGGATATTTATTGGGAAAGAAAACTAAAAAGTGGCATATCCACTTTTGCCTTTAGGAGCATTGTTTACCAGAGAATTTGTAGAAAATGTTGAAGTGGAAATTAGGCCTGCAAAAATACTTCAGTAATAAAACAGAAGTCTGAAATTATGGTTATACCTGTTGAAAGGCATAAAGTGAATAAAATTGTTTTGATGTGGTTTATGCTTGACCTGATGTGAAGTCATGCTTGCTGAAAACAACCTGGTATAAATTATCATCAAGAGTAACAGAAGATCCATTGATAATGAAATTAAGCAACTACATGTTAGTTTCTGTGATGAACTTTAAGAATGATAAGGGTGCCTCTATGGTGATAGTGTTTAATGTGTTTGATTGGAACCAAGGAAGTCTAGATTCAAATTCTTCATTAGCCATGGGAACTCACTTAGTTAATGAGTGTTCATTACCCAATCACCTCTTTTCAACCAAGCCTACCTCACAAATGAAAGAGGATTTTTCGAAAGCCAGATTGTGCTGTGGGAGGAAAGGTAAGATACCGATCTACTAGATGATAAAACTTGAACACATAAACACTTTCTATACAGAAAAAGGATAGCAGTCATTGTTAGAGAATAATAACCTCCTTCAATTTTAATTAGAACAAACGTGCAAGTTTATTAGATATCTAAGTGCGTGTCTTTATGTCATCTCTGAATTAAGTAGCTTTTACATATTCACACCAAGTTGATTTCAGTGGTGTTTTTTTTCCAACCAAGCAAAATGTTGCTATGCATTTGATGTGATTTTAACACTTGCTTCTACTTGCTGCTGTCTCCAGGTAAAGGACCAGAAACCCTTTATGCTGGGCAAAAACTCAATGATAATGAGTGGCACACAGTCCGAGTGGTACGCCGAGGAAAGAGTCTCAAACTTACAGTTGATGATGATGTTGCCGAAGGTGAGTGAGTTCATCTCTGTTTACTAAATGTGATTCCTTTGCATTTGAACTTACATCCAATAATACAAGAGAGAATTCTCTGAGATATTCCCTGAAGAGTGAAGGACATAAACAAAGTGGATCACACTATAAAACTACAGATGCAGCCTCAGCTATTGATTTCAGCATGATGAAGAACAAGATTAGCCAGGTAAGCACTTGAATCAGACCAAAGTCTGGAACACTGTGTAAAGGATGAAGAGCATAAGAGAGGATGTTAGATGATTCTGCTTATAAAGAATGAATACCAATCAATGCTGACAATAACTGCTTCTTACTATGTTAAGTTCTACCTTCCTTTCTACTTCATCATATCTGTAATCATCTCCTGTGAAATTTTGTGGACATTCCCAGTGCAAGGAAAGAAATCAGGAACATATTCTATAGGAGTGTTTTTTTAGAATCTTGAAAGAATTCAAGAAAAAATGATTAAAGGTTTGCAAAGATCCTCTGCTTTACTAGTCTAGAACAGAAGTCCCAAAACTTCACACCAGTCCAGATGCAATCTGGTATTGAGTTGGATATAGTTCCCATGTTCTACCTTCTCTCCATGTCCAAGTCATTTCCTATCCATTCTCCAATGCACCATTTTCCCAAATGTTGCCTTTTCTTTTCTTTCCTGTCCTTTTTCTTTCCTATCTTTTCTCCACTTTCTTTTTTTGTGTTCACTGCATTAGCTCTTGCAAGTAATTAAACATTTCTCTCTCACCCTGCCTTTCCTTTCAACCCCTGATTTAAGAAGGTATCTCCTTCCTTCCTCCCTCCCTCCCTCCCTCCTTTTCTGTCTTCCTTCCTTCCTTCCTTCCTTCCTTCCTTCCTTCCTTCCTTCCTTCCTTCCTTCCTTCCTTCCCTCCTTCCTTCCTTCCTTCCTTCCTTCCTTCCTCCTCCCCTCCTCCTCCTCTTCCTCCTCCATAAAAATATAACCAGACAATACTATAATATAAATGGATAATATAAAACCTAATTTAAATTTTTAAAAAGTGACCCACCACTTTTAGACTATGACCTTTCACAGCCAAGTATGGCTCTCAAGCTGACACACGTTTTGTATAGAATGGTATAAAATATACAATAAAGGTAGAATCAGTGTTATGGTTGAAAACAGCGTTATAGTTGAAACCATAACAGTGTTATGGTTGGAAAAGTTGAAAACAATCATGTAGTTCTTTGTGCTCATGGACCTTGATTTACATATCAAGACACATTGAAAAACAAAGAGATCAAAATATAAGCTCAAAATATTCTATTTTTGAGCTGCTTAAAATATATTTTTGTATTCAAGCACATTTTTATTATTTGTTGGTTTGTTCATTTCTATCCTGCCTTTACTATTTCTATATTCAAGGCAGCAAACATACCTAATGCTCCTTCTTTCTCCTATTTTCCCCAAAACAATAACCTTGTGAGGTGGGTTTCGCTACGAGAAAATCCAAAATCACCTGGCCAGCTGTCAAGAATACATTTTCCCAGGAGAAATTAGATAATGATCAGTCTGTAAATGTAGTAAAAAAAGTAAGCAAAGTTGAGGGGGGTGGAATAAAATGACAACTCAATCATTTTTTTACATTTACTACCCTTTAATAAACTCATTGCAGATTTTTCAAACAATATTTTTTATGCTTTTATGAATAATTTGTCAGTGCTAAGCAGTTCTAGGCTCAGCCACATGATGGCGTGTGCTACTTTAACTACAACAAAGCTTGTCAGAAGTAAATTGTGTGTGTTTAAAGTGGGTAGGGTTGGTAATTCATAGTCCAGTTTTTATAACAATAAGTTTGTAAATCCAAATGTGAAATCCTAACCCACTTTAATTATTCTTACTTATTAAAGCATACAATATAGCATCATGCCCACCGAGTTACAAATTAATACTTATGTACCTTAACATTGGAGATCATCTATATGCCTAGCAATTAATACACACATAAAATAATGGATGAATGCTTTTGTATATTGCAAGTAACAATGGGAACTATATACCTGTACATTTGTGTAAATAAGGAAAAAAATAATTTAATTAGATTTTTTTTCTGGAAGCAAATAATTAATGACCGGTATAGAATCACATCATGGTGAAATGGAGAGGTAATTTGCTACTTGAAGTTAATGAGGCTGTTCTTATCCATTCTCTTCTTCTGCCTTACCCCCTGCCACATCATTGAGCAAATGATAACCAAAATAATGTCAGATGGTAGGGTGAAACTATTTTTTTCCTGTGAAAGACAGCAGGATGACCACATTATCATTTTTATGACTTTGTCCTCATTTTTCTTTTCCTTCTCCCTCTTCTGCCATTCTTGCCCCTGACAATTTAATGGACAATCCTCAAACTGGAAAACAAGTATTCCAAAGTATTTTGATATTGCTTGTACATGGAAGATCCAATTCAATAAATTGATAAGTCAAATTAGCACTTAATGGAGGAATAACCTCCAGTCAACAACTCAAACTATGCGTTACTATTAGAAGAAATCAAGATGGGTGAATTATTCATATCCGAGAATTTTTTTTGGATATCTTATCATTTGATTTGTCTAGAGTGATGTAAAGTCCTTTTTCCTAAGCTGACTTTGTCTTTGAGCAATTCAGCCATTATTTTGTAATTTGAAAAATCCAGGTTCTCTATAATTTAGGGACTGGCAGTATTTACATCAGTTTGACTACTTTCCACCATGACTTTCCCATTGTGGGTTTTGACTGGACTATACAGTATTTTGCAGCTGACTGACTGATTTCCTTTTCTTCTTCAGAACAAACTAATGAAACAAGGCAAACAGGGTCTAGCCTGAGGGCCTAGCCATATTTTTTTTGGTTAGTTGAAAAAACTGCAAGTTGGCTCTGGCTCTTCAATAGTTACCATTAATACTTTACAAATATCAGCTCAGAGACTTTGAGTGATGGTTTTGAGAGCTGGCCACATGGAAGTGTTCTTAGAGTAGTGAACTCTCTACAGCAGGGGTGTCAAGGCCTGCAGGCCGGATTTGGCCCATGGGGTGATTAAATCTGGTCCATGGAGCTAGCCTGGAAATAGCAAAGGACCAGCCTGTGGTGCCTCTGGCAGCTAAAATGAGTTGTGTGGCGGGGGGCTCCTGCACCCCATTTTCAGTCTGGATGACCTCCTGCAGTGCTGTGCCGGCCAAAGCGGGGCATGGGGGACCACCCAGATTTGGCCGCAGGGTGGTGCAGGAGGTGTCTGTCCCATCCTGTCCTATCCCCACACCAGCTGGTCCTCAGAGGAGAACTATGCTGATCCAGCACTCAAAGAAATTCAATTTGACACCCCTGCTCTACAGTTTTAGCCTCATAAGAAATCTGAAAGGTTGCTCAGACTAAGGGATTGTAATTGAAACAAGGTTATCTAGTTAGTACTATTGGTTTTAAACTTGTATCTTCTTAGCTCAAGTCCATCTTTGAGCTAAGCAGGTATCAGACAGATTGATGCTATTTGAGAAATGCTGAGAATTCTCAAACAGTTTTGTAAACACTATTTGGAAGTCTTTTGGGGGAGTATTTTGCTAACCATGCTACGCTAGCAAATCTAGAGAGTGACATAGTGACCCTACAAATTGTAAGAGATCAATCTACTTTCCAATACAAAAAAGGAGGCTTAATAAAGTATGCAAACTATGATACAATATCCTTAATTTCAAAGCTAGTAAAATAAACCAGCACAGATTAGAGCCCTACATAGAAGAATGATGCCAGATGTTCAAGCCTTCAGAAAAGGCTGAGGAACACAAGATATTATTGCTGATGCACAATGGATGACTGAGAAAGCCAATGAAGACCAAAAAGAACTCGGTATGTGTGTCATTCACTTGGCATTGATTATATCCGACTGTGGAATGTACTCAAAAAAATGGGAATCGCAGAACATCTCATTGTCCATATTAGAAACCTATATACAGTTCAGGTAGCCACAGACAGACAGAACATAATGAAAAAAAATTGACTCCAGTTTGGCAAAGGAGTGAACTGTCTGCTAGAAAACAAGCAAGCTCAGAGAACACTAAGGATTCCTCATGAAACAAGACATAATTTATATACTCCTCCCTTATTTATCCAACCAATATGAAGGAGTCATGCTGTGGGAAGCTGGAGTGAAAGAAGTTTTTTTAACAAGTTTTTTATTTTATTCTACATATACACATCAATACATAAACAGTGTGGCACCTAAGCATCATACATTCTGGTGCAAACAAAAATACCATTATTAATCATATCTCTAATGTCTCTAATACACATATTTGTATTAAATTATAAACTTTCATTATTTAATTATTCAATATTCCAATACATTCTTCTAATGCCAATCACCATATTATTTAAGTATGCATGATAATTTCATTATTCAATTCCTTCTTTCATTTTTTTTTTTTAAAAAAGCTCTCTTTTGGCAAGCAGTATAGTTCCAAGTTTTTACATTTCAGTACAAACATGATCATAGTTACATATTCATCTTTTTTGTTCAGTTTCATATCACATTCTTACTTATTAATATTAAATTCATTAAACATTTTATCCACTTTTGATTCTTATCTAAATTTATTTCATTTTTCTTGGGATATTCTCATATCTTACTTTATAACATTATCTAATATTCTTATTTCATTTCTATATTTATTGCACATATTACTTTTATCTGTCTGATTTGTCATTTTATCAATCCTTGTTCTATCAATTCTAAAAATTGCCCCATTTAGTTGTCAATTTGAGCTTACCACCTTCATTCTACATAATAACAATATTTTCCTATCTACTAAATATCAGATATACATATAGTATACAGATACAGATTCCGCATAGTATTCTTTTCTCAAAATCTCTATATATTGCAAAAATATTAATCTATTCAATTAATTATAGAAACTGATATTAATGTTTCCATTATGATTCTCATAATTTTATACATCACTGATTATCAATTAATATTCTTATAATAAATTCCCATTTCCATATCTATTCCATTAAATTCCATATCTAATATAACAATAATCCTTGGAAAGAAGAAAGTAAGAAAAAAAATCAGTTCTAATCTTATCTATTTTCAAATACTTCTTGTATATCACAGCACATTACCTTGCAGAATCTCCTAACTTTTTTTTAATCTATTGTCTCTCATCCTCCTAACTATGTAATTTCTTTTCATTCTTGTTTGCTTCCTGTTTCTTTTTATTTTCTGATCCTTTCTCTTAGTTTTCCTTTTCCCATTATTATTCTCCTCCATTTCTCATTCCAATTATTTATTTTATTCCCCCCCTTGATCTTTGTTTTGTAGTTTGCTCTTCTGCTTTTTCCCTTTCCTTTGTTTAGTTTTCTGAACCATTCCCCCTTGCATTATCACATTAAACCACAAATTTTTAACTTTAAATCTTTTTTCCTCCTGCTTAAATGATTGTTGCTCCACTTCATCTTCAAAACTAGTTTCCTCTTTATTTAACTCTTCCCCTTCTGCTTCTCTTTGTTCTTCTTTGTTCTGAAGTACCATTTCTAGTTTTTGTAATATATTGCTGCACATTTCCACACTTACTTTCATCATATCTTGTAAATCCAGTCTCATTTCCGCAAATAATTCTCCCATTGTATATGCTTCTCCTTTTGTTCCTCTTCTTTAATAATTATATCCAATCCAAATGTCCAATAGATTGTTTCAATGAGCATCTTTTGTATTTAATTTCAACATTATTTAATTATTCAATATTCCAATTCATTCTTCTAATGCCAATCACCATATTATTTAAGAAAGGGGGTTTATTTTATCAGGGAAGGGAAGTGCCTCCCCTCAAACCTCCAAGCAGTTCCTCCTTTCTTCACCACCCCTCCAGGGCAGTTCTGGTCTCATATGGGACCCTCCAACAAGTTAGCTCGGAGTGAAACCGCACACGGTCACTGATTCCACTCTGAACATGGAAGAGAAACTGGAAGTCTGGATTGAAAGAGTTGACTGTAGTTTTAAAACTGGAGAATAATAATAATAATTTGCACTTTGCTGATGACATTAATCTAATTAATTATTTAATAGCTGAAAATGCAAAAATTCTGCAAAGTCTAGTAATAAAAGTAAATAATAAAAATGGGACTAAATACAATGAAAATCAAACTAAAGACAAGAGGTACAACAACCAGGCCTGGAATTGACAATGAAGATATCAAAGTGGAAGATCGTTTCTGCTCTTTAGGATCAACCAACAACAGTAAAGGAACAAGCAGTCAACAAATATCCCTAACAGATTTTTTTGCATAAAAATGGAGGGGGGAATAAACTTGTGATTTACAGTTTTGATGATCAGACAGGAAAGATTACAGAAAGAAAAGAGTCACAGTGTATCTAGAAAGAGAGGTTAAAATATAATTGTATTTAACTGCTGTAAAAAACACTGAAAACTGCTTCTTTATACCTTTATATATGTGTTAGTCTCTTTTTCTACTTTCTACTACTTTTTTCTTATTGCACTTTAGCTTTTCCTTTCATTTTGTTTTCCTTTTTGTTTTCTCTGCTCTATTTTACTTTGTAGTTGTCATTATTTCTGTTAAAAACTTTCAAACAATATAAATAATATGTAAAGAAATTATTATGTCACAAGCAGCATTTTATAGAGCAGATATGAAGGTGATACAAAAGATATTCAAAGGCTAATATCTATCTGTGCTAAGAAAGATCAGAAAAATGCAAGGTCTGTAGAAGCAAAAGCAGAACTTTGAAGAAGCAAGACAATGGATTGGAACAATGGTGTTGGAAAGAACTGTGGAGAATACCATGGATAGCCACAACAACAAACTGATGAATTGATCGGTGATCAAATCAACCCAAAGTTCTCACTTGAGCCAAAAATGACCAGGCTCAAATTATTCTGTTTCAGACTCATTATGCAAAGACTTAGTTCTCAGAGAAGGCTCTAATGGTAAGAAAGGTGGAAAAAAGGATAACCAGGGGCATGTTATAGTGGCAATAGGGACACTGTTGGAAGAAGTGAAGGACCAGATTAGAGACAAATCATCATGGAGAAAATCTAGGTGCTCACTAAGAGTCAACACTGACATGAAACCTACAAAAAAGATTCTCTCAGGAATTGTTAAAGATATATAGAAATTGAAAAGATGTAAAGATGATTATTCCAGTGACTTGTACAGGCTGATATAAATGTTGATTATCTGTACATTATACAGTGGAAAAGTTTATGAAAAGTCAAACTTTAGTGTGTAATTTTAGCTTTTAAAATTAAAAACTGATGCTACTGTCCTCAAGGCCAAATAATATACAGACTGTTGATTTTGCTTGCTTTTAAAATTGTGTCTCTGTTCATCCCATTTTAATTTCAATTGCACTCAGAGCTTAATACAAGCTCCCTGATAACTTTGCCTGTTCAACCAACTTTCTCAGTGATCACATCTTTGAAAAAACGTTTTCTCAAAAGCCAAACTAAAGAAGAAAGAAGAATGTCAGGGCTTACTAGCATGCAGTCTTCTAATGCATTTTTTTCAGTGGTTTACCTTGCATCCTTTGGACAAAATGGTGGAGCCTTAAGGCATCCTTGTTTATCATTGTGTTACCCACATGAGTTGGAATATGGTTCTAAGTTTCTCTGCCAGGAGGACTAAAGACTGCAATTTCTTGGCATTGTAGATGTACAGATTTAATGAACCAAGTTGTAATAGGTTGCTTTAAAGAAACAGCATTAGTATTAATAGAAAAAGGTTCAGGAACTATCTATCACTCCACATTTTGATGAGCTGCAGTTCCCAATATTCCTAGAAAAAATGGTAATGGTTAAAAATACTGGAAGTTGTAGTTTAGCAAGATGTGTCATAATTTATTTTATCCAAAAAAGATGGAAATAATTTGGAGTAGTTTTTCTTCTATTACTAGTTACTGCAGAACTTTTTTTTAGTTTTTTTGTGCTTTGATCTTCAGGTACAATGGTTGGTGACCACACTCGCTTGGAGTTCCACAACATTGAGACTGGGATAATGACAGAGAAGCGTTACATCTCTGTCATTCCTTCCAGCTTCATTGGCCACCTTCAGAGCCTCATGTTCAATGGCCTTCTCTACATTGACTTATGCAAGAATGGAGACATTGATTATTGTGAATTGAAAGCCCGCTTTGGGCTTCGTAACATCATTGCTGATCCCGTTACCTTCAAGACCAAGAGCAGCTACCTGAGCCTAGCAACTTTACAGGCCTATACCTCCATGCATCTCTTCTTCCAGTTCAAGACAACGTCTGCTGACGGTTTCATCCTTTTCAACAGTGGGGATGGAAATGATTTCATTGCAGTTGAGCTGGTCAAGGGGTAAGATCTTCAGTTGGCTCTGGCGATGGATTAGTTAATAGAGGTCTTTCATATGTGTTCAAAACTTAATTTTAATTTCTGATTCTTTTATTTTGTGAAATTACAACTTTAACAACTTCATAGCTATAGCATATTTTCTCTGACGAAGCTGCTTCTGTTTCATTTCCCTAGATAAACCTGTATTATTTGATTATTAGAATCATCTTTTTTTTTCTGAACCTTTTCAAAGCAGGAACTTTTATTTTTTGCAGGTATATACATTATGTGTTCGATCTCGGAAATGGACCTAATGTTATCAAGGGCAATAGTGATCGCCCATTGAATGACAACCAGTGGCACAATGTAGTTATCACCAGAGACAACAGCAACACCCATAGCCTAAAAGTGGATACCAGGGTTGTTACTCAGGTCATCAATGGTGCCAAAAACCTTGACCTTAAGGGTAAGTCATTGGATTAATTTTGAACTGATTCATCCATGCATGATAATAATTATTCCTAATACCATATCGATTGAAAAATCCGACAGCTAAATGTGGGAAATATTGGAATGGCAAACCATATAATGAGAATAAATACCTGGTATTTTCAATTATAAAGAGAACATGGGTTTGGGAACTCAACTCTGTGGAAGACAATAAGATTTTAAAAAGTTATTGCACTGGATAGATGAACTTATTTCTTAAGAATTTTATATATGGCATTGTAGGGTTGAAAGGGGCCATTTACATCTTCAATTCCAATCCCTAGGGCAGGAGTCCAGATTAAACCTCCCCAATAGATAGCTGTCTCACTGCTGCTCCACTTGAACATAATCAAGTGAAGGGAAGCCCAGTACGTAGCCTGTAACTGATTCAACTGTAAAACAGTTCTTATTATTTTTCCTCACATTCATTCAGAATCTGTTTTCTTGTAAGTTAAAATTATTGTTATGTGACATGTGCTCTGGAATGATAGAGAATAGAACTTGGCCTTCTGAGTGACAAATATACTCTCCTCAGTTGTATCTTCCCACTATTAAACTAAAGATTCTTAATTCCCTGAATCAGTTGCTTGTCGTTTGATCTTCCTTCTAAAATATGGTGCCTAGAACTGACTATAAAACTTGGAGGCTGAATCATGCAGAATGTAATGAAATTGTTACTGTTTATAAGTTGGGAACTATGGTATTGTTGATGCAGTGTATAATTGTAGCTGCTTATTTCTATATCACACAGTTGTTGATATTGCAAAGTTCTCTCCTATTAGCATTACCTATCATTAGCAGTAGGCTTTTTAAGATGCTGATCAGAGTATAACAGCAAACAGCACAACTCACTGATTTCCTTGGAGTTTCCTTGTCTCCTGTCTGTTTTCCTTTAGGTGACCTGTACATTGCTGGACTGGTTCAAGGAATGTATAGCAATCTCCCAAAGCTGGTAGCATCCAGAGATGGATTTCAGGGATGTCTAGCATCAGTAGACTTGAATGGGCGCCTACCAGATCTCATTAATGATGCGCTGCACCGTAGTGGGCAGATTGAGCGGGGATGTGAAGGTACAGTTTATTTAAAGTGCAATTCCTTTTTGCTCAGTCCTCCCTCCCTCCTTGCTGTTCTAAGCATCGCCATTCATTTCCTTCATAAAGCCTGTTACTGATCTATCCTCATTGTGACATCTCCCCATGCTATCCATATACATGTTCAGTATTTGTAATCATCTTGGTTGTGCAACATGTGAAGGGAATGATGGTTCTATATGGCTTTCTTGTTTGATGTACTATATCCCTATCACGAAATACATTACAGCATGCACATCCCTTGGCTGTCTTAGATTATGTTTATAATTCTAATCATCTTAAATCAGAAACAAGAACAATAATAATATATTTTATCCAAAAACATCAAATAAATAGCAAAAGAATGACCATAGAAATAATAAAATGATTAAAGATTTGCCAATATATAAATGATCTGGATACTTAATTCCCAAATAAAATTGAGACCTTACACAATGATGAAATGTCTTTGATGTGTATTCCTGATATAAGATCTCAATTTCCTATCCTGCAAGCTCTTGCTAATTATTAAAGCGTTAGGTTGATTTCTATTAAAAGCATTCTTACACATCTGCTGGCAGTGATTTATGTATATATGAAGCAATTGGATATGTTTATTCATAATCAGACAGTGATTATAAGAAACACAACAAATATTATCTGAACATTATTTTTTTCCAATTGAGTCATTTTCCAGAAACAGGATTCTGTAAAAGTATCTGTACTCCTGAAACAATGCATAGTGGTCTTCATGAGTTACCACATATATTCCAGATTCACTTAGGATTTTGTAAATTCAAATTAAATATATATTTATAATATATAATTATATAAATAATATATAATATATATATTATTTTATTTATTTAAATAATTTATATGGCCACCATTCTCACAACAGTGATACTCGGTAGTGTATAAGGATTAAAACCAAAGAATTAAAAATAATAGCCCATGACATTGAAAGGAAATGATACCTTATAAAATCATATCCACAATAAGTTTGCCCAACCTTTTATCTAACTACCTGGCCTGAATACCTGGAGAAACAGCCAGGTTTTTAGAGCCTTATAAAAAGCCAATAGGGTTGGAGACATCCAGATCTCAGGGCGGGTGGTGTTATTACACAAGGTAGGCACTGCCTTAGAGAAGACATGGCTCCTAGATCAAGCAAGTTGACCTTGTTTGATAGGGGGGATGTGTTGCATATCCTCTCTGCTAGTTCTAGTGGGCTGAACAAAAACAATGGAAGAAAGGCAGGCCCACGATATGTTCTCGATAACTTCCCATTTTGTCATCTAAGAGTTCTATGAATTGCATGGTTAGTTGGCTGAATTCTCCAACAATCTTTTATAGTTTATATGACCTTGGAATAAACAGCAATCTATGTTAAGAGCAACTTCTTTTGTACCATATTTTGATTTTTTGGGGTGGAATGTATGAAGAAATAATGCTCTGGGATAATGAGACTTTTGAAAGAATCAGGAACTTAGGAAGAAGGTAGGCAGAACATATCAATAAAGCAAGTTAGATTAATGTAACATTCCCACAATGGCTGCTGCTAAGATTCTTTCACCCTTTGTATTTGGAAAACACTGATTTGGAAAAAAAAATCACATGTGGATTTTCCCCTTTAATATATTACAATAATTCTTTCTGTGAAATAACTACCAGTGGCTGGTGTCATCTGACAGCATTAATAGGATAGTTTTGTTTACCTGAAAAAAGTGAATGGAAACAACAAATTGATGGCATATTAAAGACAATAAGTCTTTTCCCTACTAGAATCACCTTTATCAAAAGGATGAACTAAAGAGATATACACAGTGGGAGAAACAGTGAAGAAAGAGGGAAATGAAAGACAGATAATGAAAGTGGGTGATGATTCCATTATTGACAGTAGCTATTTGCAAAGCAACTTTGGGGTGATGGCACAAATCCTTTTTAGGGTTAGCTGTTTAACAACTCTGAGTTTTAAAAAAAGAAAATGTGAGAAGTAGCAGTTTTTACATACAGAATGCAAAGGGGCTGTATTATCTGTAGCTCCTTGCATTTTTCTAAATCTGCTCCAACCAAATGAAGCAGATTTTAAGGGTATATTGGCGAGCAGGTTATATGGATAAGAGACTAGAAACCCAAGGTACAAGTGGGGTTTTTTTTCTTCCATGATATTAGACTCAGTCCTTCAGGTCCTCAAGAATGGGACTATAAAAAGAAGTAAATAAATAAATAAATTTTGCCATTCTGTCAGTGACTTCAAAATACATTATTGAATAAGGAAACATTAGATATGATTGCAACACAAAGCATCCATACCACAGTTAATTAAGAAGTTCAGTATTATCTTTTGTGACTGAACAAGTTTGTTTTATATTAGTCATTTTAATTTATATATTAATTCACAAATGCAATTATGATTGGGTTATTATCCAACTTCACATTTCTGAAAAGGCATTTCTAATAAAATAACTGTTAATACTTTCTGCATTTCACTTTCCTCTATTTTCCATCTCGTCAATGGCCAGTTATTTAATGAGTTAAGAAAAGAGTTATTTTCATAACTCACTAATACCCTTGATGTATTACAGTTTTTGATGAGCACAGTTTTTGTGCTATAAATTCATATTTAAGATACCTCAAGGTAGAAGGTCTTTTCTTTTCTTTTTGGGATAGCTGGTTAGCTTAGCTACTTCTCTACAAAATAATAATAATAATAATAAT